ATTTCGGTTTAAATAAGATAAACGCAATTCAAGTCACGCTTTATGAAACGTTAATTTTTATTGTGTTATTGTGGTTTTAATCGGCTTTTTGTATACAGCGATGCTTGGCTTATACTTTCAAAGTCCAAAGTTTGCGATGTATTCTATTTTCAAAAAAGTGCATTGCCACTGAGCTTTTCTCCCTTAAGTTTTGTATGTGTTATTTTCATTATAGACACAGTTTCATCAATCAATATTGTAGATGATCACTTAGGAGATTTTCTTGTGCAGCTGGGCGTCTATTGAGTATTATTATGATTATTATAATGATTATTATTATTATCAGATATAATTATGATATGATATTGTAGGTCACCAATACAAAAGGAGTTCCTGTAGCGTATATAGCTATGTTAGATGGTCCGCCAACGGGTCCAGTGGGCCAAGAAACATATATGGCTAACCTAGGATTTGATGTGTCTTGTAAGTATTAGAAAAATTGTGTCACTGTTTAACTCAAGGATCAAATATCCCTGACGAAGATGTTCTAATTTTATTTTTGAAAAAAGATTCATATGCGTAGACATAGACAAAAATTGGGGTTTTTATCATTTTTGATAAAGCGTAATCTTGGCTTACGGAATACTGGTTTATGTTTTAAGTGAATCAATGATAGTTTCTTTTAAAATGATTTCGTCTTTCATGAAATTTCACGTTTTTTAATGATATATTTCAGTTTATGAGAAGATAAGTATAAGAGAAAAGGCTTTAGTCATTGCAGTTGGATTTTTGATTGTAAGTAATCGATTGCAATGTTTTTACGTTTGACTTTACCTTTTCGTTTTCCGTATGTTCTAGTTCACAAACCCGGTAATACCTGATGATTCTGTATGGATTATTATGCTTCAAACTACCTTTAAATCCCTTATCTCTATTTCATTCCTTTCAAATCAGTACAAAATTGAATATAAAACATTGGCAAAACGTTTAACAGTTCTTGACTCTAGAAACGGATACTGGCAAATGATGCAAGTGAATAATACTATCTCAATTTGTTCTAATCTTCATTTCAGAGCAACGATCGAGTGAGTTTTGTGTCCAACGTTTATCTGGATTGATGATGTTGCATTTTGTGATGCAATATTATTTGATAAGAAATTAAACTTTGTGTAACATAAAAATATTTGTACAACGATCATTGGTTTTTAACAATGATATCTCTTCAGCATAGTTTATTGCATTGGAAGTGCGTTTTGGTATTAAAACCTTAGTCAGTGATACATGTAATGCCAGAGGTGAATTTGGCGATGGAAGTTTTATTTGTGTGGACACGTCACGAACATATATGTCTTGTAATCTTTGTTTATAATTCAATATACACAAGTCGATCTGAAATCCAAGGTCAATTTAGAAGCACAATATATTGTTATTTCCATTATACGAAAAAAAAGAGAATGGAACCAATTTAGAACCTACGAAAGCGCACCAGCACTTTTTGCGTGCATGGGGACTAAATTAGTTCGTCAAATACAAATACAAATCAATAATCAAAATATTGTAGATGTTTATAATTCATGTTTGAATGTTTTTTATAATTTAAAGATTATTTATTATCATTGATTATACTCTTTAGAATATAATTTTGTATTACTATTGAATGTAACCCGCTGTGGATATGCTTAAGTCTATATACATAAACAAATACCTTGCTGTAATAATGCGTAAAGAGGCTATATAAAAATTGTTTTGCTTCAAAGGGATACAGTCGTCCAGTCGCTTTCTTTCCAGCAACATCAAGATTTCCTGTATCACTTCTCAGAATGTAAATCTTAATTTTGGTTCCACTTTATAATTCCAGGAAAAATCAGAACTTGTTTATTAATCACAAGCAAAGGCAGTTAATATTGATGAAATATAGGCAAATACAAATACATGATCTTACTATATTCTGCTTTAAATCGTGTTCTGTTAAAAAATGAAACAATAGCACGTTCGAAATTCTAGCAAGTAGTTTTTTTTTATTGAACGGAGCATTTGTTTGGTTGAATATTAAATGGCCCAGAACATGACATACATAACAATTTCGTCAGATCTTTCATTATAAGTGGAGTTTCCATAGAAAACAATATTAAAAATATCCAGATTTTTTACTTTTAAACAGATTATTGTATACCATAAAATAATGAACATTTTTATATTACTAACGGGCTTTGAGGATTTCTTGAGTTTTCTTAATGTTAAAAAGCAGCCATTGTTATTATTGTCTTATTGTTTGCTCATCAACGTATACCATATTTATTAGTGAAAATATTGTTTAATGTCTATTATTATTTTGATATTATAAACTCAGAATGTTAATAAATTCATCGATATATATATTCAAATTCTTATTATGTCTGCAAATGGAGATCTGAGAATGTAAGAACGTTTCTTAAAGGGAAAGATTCGCCATTTTCGGGGTTTGAATTTGGTCTCTATTACTGATGAAAAGTGGGAAAATACGCCATTCTATTGAAGTACCTTGATAAGTCTGAATTAAACTCTTATCTACTTCAGAGCTAGCTGTCTTGGTAATGAGTTGCTTTTCGTATAATTTGATAAATCAAGGTGAGAATTCTTTCTAATTAGTGACGTTCAATGTCAATTTGAAATATTTCCTCCTCCAATTTGTCTGCGTCAGCTGATTTTTTTTCTGTTAATTTCAATTCATTAACTTTTCTCAACTTTTAAAATATTCAAATCAGAAAATTGAAATTCGATGATTGTTGGAAATATTCTAGTAGGCCCTTTAGAAAATTTGCAAGGATTTTTGTAGCTTGTAGAGGGATATTAAGGACGTCTTCAAAATAATCAAGGTATTAGACGGAGTTTTTTTTAAATTTCAATGAGGCCTAAAATAAAGAGTTAATCTTCCTTTGAGAAAGTCTGTGTTTTCAGCCACAACCCCTAACGCCTCTAATGCCCCTGCTGAAGAATAGGACTCATAAAAAGGTTTATCAACGCTTAATTAATCTTTAAGGCATTTTCATTTCATTTCCTGTCACATGACTTAAGGGCAGATAACTGATCATAGCCAAAAGGGACATAACTATAGTTTGCCATGGTATATAAAGAATGACACATGGACATAGATTTATATGTAATATAATCTGTTACGTCTAGACAGCACAAGTATGCACAAAGGCTTCAAAACACGTAAGCGACGATGCGAACAAGCGTTTCACATTTTTTACATATTTGTTCACTGGACGGTATTCAAAGATATTTCATCATTTCGTTTGAATGAATGCTATACGAGCACCACACCCATAAGGCCACGAATGGCTGGTTGAAATAACAGTAAGGTCGCAGTAGAGATAACGACGAAGGCATCAAAGTTTGTTTCACAAAAAAAACGTCTTTCGTGCACTGTATTCGAACGACACCCCATTTCGCTTCAAAAAGCAAGCCCTCCATATTGCTTAAATATTCGGAAACAACACTGTTACAGTAAAGGCTAAATTGATAAAGGTTTCGAAAAAAACAATCCAAAGTTATGCAGCCACCACTGTCCACTTGCAAGTAACCTTGATAAGATATTAATCCGTAGCACCTACTAATAACGAATGCCGGGAGTTTGAACACTGATTCTGGGATGTTTCAATCTCCCCACTAACCAGTAGGTTGTCATCAAACCCTTTCCCTAAAATCAGAAAATATTACCTGATTATGTTCAGTAGATCAACTAGAGGAGTGGCGGGGTGATTGGAGTTTTACGTCAATTCTATTCTGCTACTGGTTAGGCTGAAACCATAATAGCTGCCATTAAATACCGTGATATATTGCTGAAGGGCCAGCGATACTTTCACGGTTAACCGATTGAGATGATACTGACCTTGACCTCGATCTCCCCTCTGGTGTTAATAGTGAAATCACCACTCTTGTCAAGACCTTGTTTTGTCGTTGAACTAATCTGTATTCGATGAGCTGAAAAAATGCCAAATTATCAGATATTAAACAGATGAATATACCAGAGGCTATGAGTCGATATTTACGGATTCGTTCTTGAACAATTTGGCGTCCATTTTGTTCCAGATCACATGGCCAAATACACGTTAAAAGCCTTCCATAATAGAGAGCAGCGTGACGTCTCTTAACTCCGACATGAGTGACGGTATTTACAAATATACCAAAGAAGGAGACATAAATATGACCCAAAAATTACTGCCTAAATACACCGCTAGGACGGCATCCATTCACTATTAAACAGAGGTATGTCATATTGGATTGACATATGGACAATTTGTTTTACTTACGTAAACTCGAAGATTCCATTCGGGATGCTGTATTCACAGTATCGCCAAAAACACAATACCTCGGCATTTTATTGCCAACAACACCTGTAACAACTGGGCCTGCAAATAATAAAGAAGAACATTACAATGATAACATCTTAGGTTCACGAGGACCACATCTACCAGCTGGTCCTTAGCAAAATCCCCTTGGCAATGATTTAGGCAAGTAACAATTTAGGCTCATGATGATAATCATTACTTTAATCCCAGCTGCACCTCGACCAAACCTCATGTTATTGATCTTTCCGGATTATCCGTACCCACCGAGTCGACTAGAATATTGAGCGTGGAAAGATGACTTATTAAAGGTCACCAGATCTCCACACTGACCGAGATTTGAGCCCACGACCACCATAGTTTGATCTAAGAAAGAAAATGACTCTAAACAAGAAAATCGATGAATATTAAAATGAAAAGCCCTACAGCCTATAGAGCAAATAGACCACATCCCTTTGATTCTAGAAAAATTTACTAACAATAGCCTTAGTAATTTGTTTTGATCAGTTTTATTGGTAGGTACTTAAAGACTATAATATGAACCATTAGATAGCTTCTCCAATACAACAGAGTCACTCTGACTTCCTGATTCATACCTAATTAGTGCAATTAGCTAATTAAGTCATTTCATCATAAGTACCAGACTATCAGAACTCCCTGACATCTCTTGAAACGAAATAAAAAGTCAAAAATTGGAAAATATATGAGAAATTGGTCTCTAAGGATGGTTGTACTTAAAGGGATTGTAAAGAGGTTTTCTAAATTTCAATTTAAGACATCTGTCGTTCCTTCAATTCCAATAAAGCAAATTTCGCGATGAGTAACGTCATCAAACACTTACTTTTAATGAAATTGCAGGAAGCAATGATGTCTGATTGAAAATTTGAATGATGCAAATTGATTCTATTTGTTTCCTTGACACATAACACATATAATTTTAGAAAATCTCTTTACAATCCCTTTGAAACGAAGCAAAAACATTAATATCAAAAGTCAATTTAAAATGCGTCAATAGTCATTTGTTTACACTTAATTTTCTGCAATTATCTCGAACAATTATAAGGTTCAAAATTCTTCTGTTGTTTTTTTCCTTTCTTGCTTTCTTCCTTCTATCCTTCGATCGTCTACGCCTGTTTTCATTCGTTCCTTTCTCTCATTATCTCCCCTTCATTCATTCATTCATTCATTCATTCATTCATTCATTCATTCATTCATTCATTCATTCATTCATTCATTCATTCACTCACTCACTCACTCACTCACTCACCCACTCAGTGGTCATAGTTCTTAATCTAAAACAGGTACAAAGGTTACATTATAATGAAAGGTTGGAATCATTGCAAAAAATGGCTTTAAAGCCCGAACAGTATGCCGCAGTTAAATAATGATTTAGTAAAAAGGCAAAATCTCATGAAAGGACGAGTCGTCATTTTAAATTTGGACACATGTGGATTTGAAGGCTCAAATTTCGACGGTGAGCTGTGAACACTATCACTGATTAGCTTATCTAAATAATTACCGTTTCTGAGACTAACGTACGATTAGCCGAACGGATGGCGAACTTGTCCCTTTAATATGGAGGTCAATTTGCGCCATTAATCCATTCTCTACCGATTTGTCTAAAGAAGTTGCACTTATCATTTTACTACAAACATTTTCCAATTTACAAATGACACTTTACAGTTTAAAATATACTTCTGATATTTATCAAAAAGGACGGTGGTTTATCATTAAAGATTTTTGGAAGATGCTAAATAAACTGTTTGAAAGGACTTTAGTTAAGTTACATGTGAATATAAACATTTTGATTTTAGCATTTCAATCATTATGTTGTTAGAATTATAAGTAATAGGTAATAAGATATTTTACATTTGTCTTTGAATCAGTGAATTAGACAAATCGGTAGAGAATGGATTAATGGCGCAAATTAATCAAATTAATGTTAGTCAATTTCGTTATAAAAGATGGATCTAATTTCTATGGATTCCAGTGGATAAAAACGGTTAAACCAGTCCCCCGAGGCAGTGTCGGTTGGGCTTGTTTACGAGCTAAAACGATTTAATAACCGATTTTTAATATCTAGATAATGTCCGCTTACTTGAGTTCGATAACCTAGCCTAGCTCATAAAGTTCTATTTGGGAAAGTTAATGTTCATTTCCAATACAGATGTCCTGATGGGGATCGTTCTACTAGACTGCACGAGAAGAGTGCCCCATCTGCCTACCCTTTGGCACCACCACTGATAACAGCAAGCATTATTATAAAGAATACAAAAATTAAGGATTTTTCACAATGTAATATCAGCTTCTGGAGGCTTCCCTTGACCTTTGTCTGAATAACTACCACCTCCGTAACTAAACGTATTTACTAATTTCATTATACGTGAATGTATCAATTAAGTTATTAAATCAATCTAAAAGATTGTTCAATCATTAGAAATAATCACTGATGAAGTACTTATTGCGAAAATCAATTTTTCAATATTTTAATGGTCAATGGCTCGCAAATTTCCATGATTAATTAAGCTAGAAAATTATGAATCAAAGTCTACTATGTATTGGCTTCGGTCGACCTGAAAATAGTGCAAGATCTAATCATTAACAGATCAAGAGTATTATTAATGCTTATATAAAAAGGCATATTTCACAACGCCAACTATCGTAAACTCCGTCTAATACCCTGACCGTCTAATCATATTCGTGTTCACACAATTTTGTAAATGCAGCGATTTGATTGGATTTTACAATAAGAAGGGAAGTAACTTATTCAAGGTCGCCGGACTTGTACACACAGATTGATAATAATAATAACTTAATTCACAATCTCACACAGATTGAGATCGGAACCCATTACCACCCAAGTTTTCGATGTAAAATGAAAATGACGTCATGTACAGATTTCAACACTCTAAATGACTGTCCTACAGTAATCACTTCAGACATATCAGACGTCAGATTTCATTCTGAAAAGTAATACAGGGGCTTGGTAGACACTTACCTGAATTCAGTCCAATTCGTAATTTTAATTTTTCTTTCGGCATATGAGGAATGGAGAGATTGGCTATGGCGTCCAACAAATCTAAAGCAAGATGGCCGATTTCTGTCACGTGCTTTTCACCGTTTCTCACCGGTAAACCGGAAGCTACCATGTAAGCATCACCTGAAAGCAGAAGCCATATACTTATAAATGCAGTGTGCAATAAGGGAAACTTTGCTAGGAAGGTAGCAATATAGCTTATTCCTTTAAACTAACAACTGCTGGGGATCTTTAACATGCACATCATGAAGCACATAGGGTGCTGTTTCAGTGGACCCAGCTGTACGGATAATCCGGGAAAGATCAATGCCAAGAGGTTTGCTCAAGATCCACCTGGTAGAAAGGATCCTCGTGAACCAAAGTTGTTATCCTTGTAAAATGTATGTTTCCGTCTTTCTTTTATTTTCACATCTAGACGATATTGTCATGATGAGCCATTTATCTTTGTTTGTGGTTAAAAATCTTAATGGGTCTTTTGTATTTTCTATTAAAATATGAATATTTCTCATAACGTCTGTATAATTATTGATTGGAATTTTCAACTATTTTTTCTAAAAAAAAAAAAATAAAAACTTTTTAAATCATAGCCTAAAACGTTTTATGGTAAGTAAATATCAGATGCACTTTACTTATAGTAAAGTATTTATCTAACAATTAGATAGCTTAATACTAATGTACTAATTACTTATTACTAATTATAATTTATTATTCTAATTGGACTTTTTTTGAATATTGCTGCTTTATTCAATAACGTTTAAAGGCAGATATATATCTGTGATAACTGATATTCATGACGTCACGCATTTTTCAAATAAGCCAATCAACACGCCGGCTGGCATCTATTTTTACATTTTGTTTTGTAAATATGTACACACGTACGAATAATTCATGAGTTATGCCAATCACTCTACTAGTTAAACGGACACGATAAACTTCAACGCATCCTACGATGCTATTTGGATAAGGTGAACCACGGTTTCATGTGTATATTGGCTGTTAACGACGACTATGGGAATAAAATTTGTTTTTTCCATATACTTATATATTTTTGAAAAAACACTTATTTAGCTGTATATTACGGCTAAGAAAACATACCCTGAAAATATGCAGATTGCCATATTAACCTTCACAAACCTAGAAATATTGACATTTATTGAAACAAACAAAAATATCGATAACGTACGTCTGCTTTTCCAGTCTTCTGCTAATCTTTTGTTTGCACAAACAAATTGGCGCTACTCGAGATTGACAGACGACAGATCAAAATAGACCGGATGTTCGATTTGATTTTAAATTGAAGAATAAATAATTGTAGAAGTAATTTTAAGTATTTTTTAAATACCCACATTTTTTTTTTCGTTTAAAGAGATATAGTACCCCAAATTTTCGCTGAAACAATTGATAGAATTCAAGATGGTACACCTATTTCAAAGATGGTTGTCCTTAAAATACAAGTCGGTGACACAAGTCGAGGGCATACATTTAATTACCAGATCGGTAGCCAGACTTGATTGTTGGGAAGGGCAACTTACTATCCAAAGTGGCAATGGTATTGTATCGCCCCCCCCCCCCCCTCCTTTCTCACCCCACCCCCCTTGCACCCGTGTATCTACGGGCCTCTTAATAACTCTTGTCAATTCAGATATCAGAGGCATTTTTCCAATTTTTCAATAATTCCAATAGTTTGAACTGAAGTTCGACGAAAGAAAACCATTTAATTTATTTTTATTGTTATGACTCGAGTTTAACTAAAATAATTTTCTTTTAAATCAATTTTTTATGTTTTTGTCTCAAATTCTAATTATATTTGACCAAAAGTCGTATATAACGTAATTTGTTATTCCTTTTGATTTATGTCTGTAAAGCTCGACAGTTTCCGTAAAGCGCACTTTTACTTCGGATAAATCTCGGCCTCCAATTTGACGATATAACACTAATTTGTCACGTCAAAATTCGTTTGAGGCCTTCTGCCTGTGGCAGCCCACAGACCTCCACCTCATGGGGCTTCGACCTTTTGGGACTCGCCCTGGAGAGATACCTCAGTTTTGTCCCCCCCCCCCCCTTCCCCTCGGGCATTTTCTAGCTACGCCCCAGTATACCTACCTATCGTTTCTACCTTGTATACATCATACAACTCTAGATTATTATCAAACGTCTTGTAGAGGATATTGAGCATATTAACTATCTGTAAAGGCGTGGACTGGGACGAAATCTTAGTGAAACCCACAATGTCAGAGAAGAACAACGTCACGGACACATAGTTCTCGGGCTCCACTGGTTGATTTTGGAGTAATTTATTGGCTACAGAAACCGGAAGTAGTTCATAGAGCAACATCTCGCTCTTCCGTCGTTCTCCCTCCAAATCGCGCGTTTTCTGTTGCAGTTTTTCAGCATATATTCGAATACGGTTCGTTAACTTGTGCACAGTGACAATCACAAACGGACACAAAAGCACAGCTATTACAACTATAACGATATTAATAGTGACATCACTTTCCAAATCTCCGATTTCAGAAGATAACGTCGCTGTTATGGTTTCCGCCATTTTTAAACTGATATCTTGTAGGATGTCTATATATGACGTCATATTGGAAAACCATTGGTCCCCCTTTTCAACCGACGACCCGTTCACATTGTTTCGTATGATCACATTGCGCATGTATGTAATATCTTTAGCTAGCTTAGTGCCAATATACTCGGAATTGAGAACGCCGTAAACCTCAGTGGAATACTGAGACGATTGAAGTAAATAATTTTCACCCATGACTTTCCTAGCAGAGTATTTTAATAAATCGGCCTGGTTAAATTTCCCTGAAAAGAGACAAGCAAACTTTCAAGTCCATTTAAAGTCCATATTATGTGTAATTTTAAATCATATTAAGTCAAATGTTCGTGGTTAAGAAGTGAGGAGATGGAGTGAAGCATGATTTTGAAATTCTTCATCATTAAGTGAGACACGAATTTAGCCAATGCTGATTGGTTGAAAAGTGGGGTAAGAAAACAAAAGTCCAGTATTATTTTAGGCTCCTCTTAGATCTAAATACCATTGTTTCCTTCATGACTATTTTGGTATTTTTAATAAATGTCGAGTGAGAATATGAGACACTGTTCTATTGAATTTGATTATCAAATGTATACGATTCAGTCATACAAAATCTAGCCCTTGATATAGCATCAATACCGTCTCTTACTGGTCAAAAAAAAAATCAGTAGGTGAAGAGACTAATATTGTATGATTTATCGAAGATAATCCGCGGCCTTTTTTCTTAGTTAAGTTTGTGAGAATAATGTCCCTTTACCTTTCATAAATCGGGTAATATTGTACTAACCTTGTGAAAAGAAGGTACTTCCTCGAGCACGCTCGATACCAGCTTGTTCCTTCGCTAGGGCCAAGAAATGATAACTCACCAGGGTCGACCATAATGTACCGGAAGTAGACTTTTGAATATGTGACGCAAACCAACTAATAAATATAGTATTATGTGATGAGTAAAAGTCAATGGCGTCATCAACAGTCACGTTGGAAAGGTTTAAACTATTTCTAAACTGCAAAACGTAATCTGTGTAGGCTTCCACGCTTTTGAAATTTTCACCGTCGTCGTTTTCTGGCCAACGATTCAATTTGCCGATGTACTCATCAGTTGTGTTGTATGCTATTTGAAGTCTCTTCAGAATCTCCGCAGATCCTTGCGAACTGATATAAAACGCAGTTGTTCCACGTTCAATCTGAAGTCTATGTACGACATTACCCGTCTGAATGCTGAGCTGAATCGTACTTCGAATCGAATTTCGAGTTGATAAAATGTTACTGTTAGAAACGAGAGTTTGGATGTTTTGTCCGATCAAGGCAAAGACTGGCGTTAAGGCAACAATTAAGATTAATATCACGTGATTACGGCGTCCGCGAGGCGTTTCTAAGTTGCTCAAATCGAGGCACCCTGACGTTACAGTTATTCTGTGTTCCGGTTCATTATCTCCCTTTAACTCCATCACATGGTTCTGAAATACAAAACAAAAATAAAACCACATAATACTGTAACTCCTTAAAACATCGAGACATTTCTGAAAAAACAAAACCCAAAGCTATACAATATTAAACGAAATAAAGACTAAACTAACAAGAAGGAGATTCTTATATTTTAGCCCAACGTTTTTGTCAACTAAATCAAAAGGAACTTGTGCTGCAATAACACCTGGATATTCAAATAAACGACATGGATAAGAGAAAAGATTAGACAGGTTCGTGAAAGTCAAAGATGCCTCAACAATAAGAACAGTCTACCAAATCAATTGAGAAGAATCCCCAAACTTAAACGTGAAATTTAGACGATTTTCATGATTACTCCTTTGCAACACTTGATGTTGCTATGCGACTGAGTTTATATTGACATCCCGCGGTAAAAAAAAATCACAAAACAATCGACTATGCAATTAAAGATATGAGGCAAGATACACTCCTAACATGATTTAAACCGTTCCCATGCTTACCCCTCTGAAATCTCCAATGCTACTTGGTTTACCAACTTGGGATTCCTTTGAGAGTCTGTTCATAACTAAATATATTTATCTAGTATACCGTATTTAATCACAAAAGACCGCCTATGTCATCAAAGATAAGAAACAAGATACGATGTTTTTCACCTCGGGTAACGATAATTTCCTGATCCCTGGTAAATAAATGGATTATGTAAAACTTTACATCTGTTAATAGCAACTGATATGATCCACAACATACAAATAGAAGAAATAATAATGATGATGCTGAGGATGATAATAAGTCCACGGAGGAATTGCCTTACATTAGATTGACCCTCGCAGAGGAGAGCCCCAATCTCTATACGTCCAAGAGCTCCTAATCATCTAGTTATGCCACTGGACAACGGACCTATTTTCAGTCCGCTTCCTTACTGAACTTGGACAAGTAGTTACTATGTCAACACTTATTTTGATTAATGTGGATGGTGCAGAATTGAACAAGATTTTCAATAAAGAATTGAAGCCGAGAGTAAATAAAACCCTACTTTGGAATATTTACTTGAAAAGAATGTGTTCCTATCTCTTCAAACGTGCGGCGACAAAGCAGTTTGTTTACATGACCTCATTTCTGCCGAATTCATCGGTCGGAGTGAAATGGCACCAATCTGATTTACGCGCCTACAAAGTGTAGTGGGCTTGGTTTAATACGGGTTGTCGAAACCAGTATTCGTATCAAACTAATAGTGTAAAACCACCTCTCATACAAATGAAATCTAGTACAAAACTATCACAAATTACTAGACAAATTTATAAGAGATGATTAGATAAAGCGAAATTTAACGGGTTTCCTCTAAAGAATTCAAAGAAGCTATCTAGGCTTGGTACGTTAATGGGGAAATTCGTAGCTTTTATGGACACCATTTGAAAATTTTGACTAGACGCCACAATGGACAACTTGCGATCATGTTATCTACAGGAACCACATACATCCGGCGTAAAATGAGAATATAAATGCAGATTTTTGCTCTTAGCCTTCAAGATACACATACAAAGGCTAAAAACATCTTTAAAAACTAAAATTTAATGCAGCCAGTGGGCGTTTCCGTTGGTAATAAGCAATGAAAACAACCGTCGAATTAGAATTTGTATGGACTTTAGCTTCGACTGACAAAATTTACGTCCATGAAGAGTATTATTGCCATTGGCAAAACAAAATAAACCCATATTTAAACAAATATTTACACTATTCTAGACATAAATTCCGGATTTTGGCAATTAACAACACTTTGATATACACTCGTTCTTTTACACTGCGAATCCCATTGTATATGTTCAACTATATTGATTTTGTTTTGTTAGATTTTATTTGTATCAACAATTCAATGAGTGCTTCTACGGTTCATGTTTTGTAATTGATATCATAGCATTGTAATAAAAAATATATATGATATGATACTCCTGTTCTAATAATGGAAACTTTTTAATTGAAAATCATCTACAATTACTTTATGTAATTTCTTACTTTCTTAAAGGGATATGGTTGTTTAATTTTCACTCAACGAACTTCATTGCATATATCTCCAGCGCTTTTGAAAGAAATTGAAAAGTAATTCCATTTTCGCTTAATAATATCGTTATGCTATCGGTGATCGTTGTCATGAGTAAAGTGTATAGAATAGACACTGTCGTCACTTCCGTGGTTATGCAATTGTATACGCACCTTACATATTTTTTCAGTCTGAAAGGTGGTATTGATAACGCTGAAATGAAATGTATTGCCCAATGACAATATCCCTTTGAAGACATATTTTCTGGTTGATTCTAGAAACTTTATTTATACAACTCTAATCATCTCCGATTCGTCTATAACTCCGAGGGTTTTCATAACCCAGACTCACGTATTGCCCTTAAATAGATTTCTAATTTCTTCTGATTTTTGTGGGTCTTCGTCAGGGACCGCCTAAACAAGTTAATCCTGCTTAGCTGGGATATGTCCTTGAAATTTCGAAGGGATTTCACAATGAACGTAAACAACTTTCTAGACTTAAGACTACTTCAAAGATTATTGCATTAAGGGGATACAAAATTTAGACTCTGTAAGCTATTAATAAATGTCAAAAACGTTATCAACTGAGCTAAGGAATTCACAATGTTTTTGCTGGGGATATGTCCCTGAAATTTGCACGCAATTTTTCGTATTCTTATGCTCAAACCTAGAATCGACATTTCCTATAAAAGGAAACAGATACTCACCATTACTGCTCTCTGCATGAGCACAATTAAATGATACTGCCCGGGCCGGATAAAATCAAATCATTTTTTATTCTTTTTATTGAAATTATCCAAGTAGATAGCCGATAATTCAAAACGGAAAGATGTCAGACAATTTTAACTGCATGAGTTAACCAACTCATTTATCCTTTAAATGACGTTACCTTAAAGGGATCATAAGGAGATTTCTAAACTTTTTATGTGTATCGGGGATACTGATAGCATAGATTTGCACCATCCCAATTTGCAATCAGACGTCTGTGGTTCCTGCAATTCCACATACACTAAGTATTTGATGACGTCACTAATCTCGAAGGGCCTTATGTGATAAAGCATATTACGTCTTTTGTGGAATTGCAGGAATCAGACGTCTGACCGAAAATTGGAATGGTGCAATTACATGCTATCAGTGTCCCGGATACACATAAATAAATTTAGAATACCTCTTTACATTACCTTTAAGATCTCCTTGGTCTCTCACGTACATCCAATCACTTATAATTAGTCGGAACTTCGGAAACGATTCCATTAAAGTCCATTAATATTTTAAAGGGATATAGTCGTCTAAATTTGATCGAGCTCAGAGCATCGGCTCACAACATCGACTTCATACCAATAGCCGGCGTAGGCCAGACCTCACCCAATGATGCACTCATCCCTGTCGTTAGGTTGGGCTCCGTGGGGGCTGGGCCCCAGCAAGTGAGAATTAAGCCGAAGCAAAACCTTACAGATTTACAATGTCTTTGTACAAAATCAAAAAGATATAGATTTTGATACGTTTTTCTGCACCTTAAAACTGTCAGAAATGAGTTCTCTGGGCCTTTAATTCTTCAATTTTTTTAGTACAAAATCTGATTCATTCCAATTCATTCCAGGCTACGGAGCTGGCCCAATGATTTAAGTTATGCTGGTCCAAGTTTTTAGGTATATCAGTCCAAGGTTTCGGGTATATCGGCCCAAGGTTTCGGGTATAGCGGCCCAAGGTTTCGGGTATATCGGCCCAAGGTTCCGGGTATATCGGCCCAAGGTTTTAGTTATGCCGGATCAAAGGATTGGCAATATCGATTATATCAGCCCTAACTATGGATCTCAACCTGGGTTAGCATACTTCCAAATACAAGCGAACACGGAGTTGGGCAACCTTCGATAGCAAAAATTCTCCTGGGTATGCCAGCAGACCCAAGTTTGGTTTGGGATCTGGATCGCAGCATGAGGTAGCACACCTACTCAGGAGAAACCAGTGAATCAGTTATTGAGGCTCCCATATCATGAGGTAGCACACTCCCACGGGGGCTGCGTTGCATCTCAACTTTGGTTAGCACACTTCCTGTGGTGAAACCAGTAAACACCAAGATGGGTTCCGGACTCTGGATCCGAATACCAAGTAAAACTTTCCCTGGGATTCCAGAGAACTTCAAGTTTGAACTTTGACTCTGGACCCAAAAATGGAAGGATCATCAAGAGAACATTAAAATAATGAAAAATGATTACCTTCATTTCTTAACCAGGTGAAAATCTTTGAGACAATCTGCCCAATTGTCAGTGTCAGCAGCGATCATGTTGAATGACGAGCAAACAAGATAGATTCCAGATTCCAATTTAATATTCCAATCATATATACTTCATGGAGGCATCGACTTTTTCAAAAACAAGAAAGTCACGCATTTGTATTCCAAGGTGTAGTAAGAATTCGACTGATTCATAATAAACATTGTTGGTTTGAGGTGGCACACAACGTCATACAACGTCGTTTCAACAGTATTCCTACATTGTTATTGTTTTAGTTAGATTTTTTGTGATTGATATTTTGGCTTTGTGGTCTTCCATATTAATCAGACCTATATATCATTCACATACACAAATACCAAAATTGCCCTGCAGTCGGCTGACTTATCACTAATATCATAAATAATGTTTACACGGCAGGGTTTATTATATATATCTATATGCACTTAATAATGCGTGACAGAACTCCAGTTCACTTATCGCTGTAATAATGTGACTGCTGTGATGTGATCTGTTGTCAATAAATGACAGTCAAAACAGACAGCAAAAACAAGGCACCAGTTCATCACTTGTAACCAAAAGAAGCTACCGTTACAGTTCACCAAAACAAGGTACTAGTCAATTAATTGTAACCAAAACAAACTGCCGGTTCTTTAACTGTAACCAAAACAAGGTTCACTAATTTTGATCGAAATAAACTAAACCGATCAGTAGTTCATATTAAACAGTTCACCAAT